CCCTGCCATTCTTCCTCTTTTTATCGCGCTATCATATTTCCATACAGCCACCGGCCACCACCACCGTGGCCACCTCCACTCGATACCCAGGTCGCCCAGATTTGAATCCGGCATGCGCAGTTCCCCGCGCAAAAAGGGCGCTTTAAAGAGGTNACCCCCACGTTGCACACGTATACATATACACACGTATACAAAGGAAGGCGCGACAAGGATGAATAGCGTCGAGGGATGAAGATGAAAGCGGGACATACCGAGAGGGATAGGGGATAGGTGGTGGCACGAGGGAGACGAAGCGGAGAGCGTGCCGGTATTGATTTTAATGACGCCCCTACCTTACGCGAATTCACGAAAGAGGCGCGAATAATATCTACGCGTTCTGATTCCGGGAGTCGGGACGAGACGAAAGGTTTGCGAGAACGTGTATAGACATTTCTCTTAAATCGTCTTATATCTTTTTTTTCTCTCTCTTCTATTCTGTTACTTTGTTATCCGTTTGTTATACGATAACGAGAGATACGATAAAAGGGAGATATTATTATAAATGGATCGAGGTGTGAAACGATCCTCCTTCTTCGTCGAGTGGCGATATTTCCATACCGTATCTGATTGAATAAAGGGTTGGTACAAAAAAAAAAGGAGAGAGAGGCCGGTCATATTTATGTATGACGCGCGTGCCATTGGATAAAAGCACTTGCCGAAAAATCAAGCGGCTCGAGTGGCACTAAACGGAAGGGTGTTCAAATACCCATACCCGGGACCCTAATCTGAATAAGGTGAACCCTTTCTCCCCGGGCGAGAACCCTCTTTTTTTTTCTTCCTTTTTTTTTTTTTATTCATCGCGTGCAGGTATTTGCATGACCCTGCATGATCGCAGGTGTCAGTTCTCCCCCTTTTTCTCATTCACGAGTTGTTATAAACGAACCTGGGTCGAGGGAAAAAAAAGGGTAACTCGGTGTGCGTATGGAAATGGCAAAGTGGCGCGATGGTACGCCACTTGCACGATCAAGATCACGGTAATAGATCCTTAACTGGTGGACTGGTCGTTCTATTTTAATTCGGTGAAGAAAAAAAGGCGCACCTGTGCGCCAACCCCTAATCGTACAGGTGGATCCTCCTCTATAGAATTTAATTTTTAATACACCGAGTTTTCATTTCGCGAGCAGATAATTTGCGCTCATTAAATTATCACGCGCATCCCTTCGCTGTTAAAAATTCTCCTCGAAATATTACTCGAGAAATTACAGTACGCTTATTATTATTTTTCTACACGCTGATCATCTTTTTTTTTTTTTTTTCGATTTCCGTTACTTCCTCTTTTTCATTGCGCGGTGGTTGAAGAGTAGAGTTTTTCTTTTTTCAAGACACCCGGTAGGGCAGAGCGCACAGCCGCTGCCTCCTGACCCCATGACCCTCTCACAAACCCTACGACCTGTCTATATGCTGTATACGTGAATTGCAGGCTACCATTCGGCCACCTGCGGCTTCTGACATCTCAAGCAGCATCGGTAGTGACCGGGCGAACACCTCTCTTTGCACGCGCGAACACACTCCTTGACAAAGGTGTATTATCCCTCGCCCTCGGCTTTCCTGAAAACCTGTTTGCAGGCGCGCGCGCGCCGCGACGCCTTTGTGTCCCCTACGCAACAAGTCACAACATCATCAAAATCGTAAAGTACAAGCCAATCTCGCGACGTTAATTGCTTTCGCATCGTCCACCTCGGATTTTTTTTTTTTTTTTTTTTTTTTTTTTACCCGTCCCTCTACTACCTATCACGATTCTATTATTAGCATTCCTTCGATACCATACGTTACCTGGAATTAAATTACAAGAAAATACCGATGCCTGCGTTACTCAGAATTCGATCGAACAATTTTCCATCCAGCGTACGACCTACATTTCCTAACTGTAACTCGTCGATTAATCGATTCCTCTCGATCGAAGGTTTTCTTTTTTTTTATTATTATTATTATTCTTCAAAGAAATTTCCCAATAATGGTGAAATTCGAACGAGTACGCACGGAAATACAGACGATTCGAGTGGGATTCTTTCTTGTCGAAAGTTGTTACCGTTATGGCACAATCGATTTTAGCAAGTAGGGAAAAAAAAAAAAAAAAGAAAGAAAAAAAAAAGAAAAAAAAGAATGTAGAGAAAGGAAACGCGACACGCGAAATTCCTTCAACGCGCGCCCCCTGCGAAAATCGTTTCACCCCCCAAGGAGGAGCTCTTTTAGACGAGCCATGAATCGCCACCCTCGAGGAATAATAAAAGATCTCCCGTCACGAGGGAAATTAGAGGTTTTGATTCCGTACGGTATGCGTACAATCGTTTATTCCTATCCGGGAAAGTTTTAACTACCACTCGTTTCAAGTCTCGAGGAGCCAGGTGCGCCAAAACACTATTTTCCTTTGATGATTTGTTGGGACGCGGAAACTGGGCCAATCTCGATAGGGTTTCTGACCAACTTGTAAATCAAATCTCTCTTTCTCTCTCTCCCTTTTTAAAGCACGAGAATCTCGACAATTCACCACATACGTTATAGAAAAAAATATATATATATAATCTTGTTGAAAGTTGTGAAAATATTTTTTCTTTTTTCTTTTCTAATTCTTCTCGTGTCCACTTAATCTCAAGTATGTTTTTTTTTTTCGTTTACTTTTTCAGATCTACTTATCGAATATTTTATCGAGTAGATTTTTTTCGCCACGTTTTTTAGCAGTGTTTTTTCTTCAATTCCATTCCTCTCATTGTTCATCCCCTTCAGGATGATTTTTTTTTTTTTTTTTTTCTAGAATTTTCATCCACTTGCGGAAACTCGAGACGCATCTCCCTCTCTCTCCCCTCCCTCCTCCCCCTCTCTGGCAATTGTTCTGCCCACTTTTTCGCGCGGGAAACTTCTTAAGAGGCCGGTCGAACTTTACTGGCTCTATTCTCACCGAAAACGGAGCTCGTTTTTCTCTCT